AGGAAGGAAGGAAGGAAGAAAGAAAGAAAGAAAGAAAGAAAGAAAGAAAGAAAGAAAGAAAGAAAGAAAGAAAGAAAGAAAGAAAGAGAGACCATGCCCTCAGTGACTTCAGGTTCCCAGTAGTGTCACTCTGGAGAACAAGCCTTGAATGGGCCTTTGGGGGAATGCCAGACCCAGCCTCCAGCACATGCTTTTGTACAGAGTTGAGCAGAAGGTGATTGTCAGGAGCCACTGTCAAGAAAATCAGGAAAAAAACTCACACACTGGAAGACAATATTTACCAAAAATAATTCTGGCGTGTCTTATATGACATTCTGGAAAGTCAAAGATACAAAGACAATGAGAAAACAGGATACTGAGGGCAAGAAAACTACTCTACGCTACCTTGGTAGATCAGAATGCTATGGGTTTTTCACAGAAGCAACAAAACACATGCTCCTAAACTATGAGCTTAGGTATTAACGACAGTTCATCCACTCTAGCAAAAAGACCATGCTGAGGTAAGATGCTTAGGGAGACTGGGTCCATGCTGGGATGCAGGGACACGGGAAGCCTCTGTGCATTTGTCTCTTTGTATTAGTACTTTTTCACTGGGACCGCCAGCCCACAAATAATGACCTGAGACTTACTATTAACTATAAAAGCTTGGCCTTAGCTTAGGCTTGTTCCTAATTCTTATAACATCAATTAACCCATATTTTTAATCTATAGTCTTCCACAAGCCTCATTACCTCATCTCCATACTGCCCATTCTGCTTCCTCGGCATCTGACCCGCTACTCCGCCTTTCTTCTTCTCAGAGTTCTCTCTCTGCCCGGAAGTCCTGCCTACACCCTCCTCCTAGCTGTTGGCCGGTCAGCTTTTTATTACACCAGTTGCAGCAACACCTGTTCACACAGTGTACAACTATCCCACAACACCTCTTGATAGTCATAGATTGGTTGTAGGTCACTCCTCAACACAAAAACCCGGGGAAGCCGGAACCCTTCCATGACGTGACGTAGTTTTTAAGTACAGTGGAGTTAAGTCCTCTTACACTCCTTAAGTCACCTCTAGATTCCTTGTAACATCCAAACAATGTAAATGCTGTACGCCATGTTGTTCTTTCGTATCCTTTAGGAAAATGTTTGCCCATGTACAATTTCCTTTCAACTTGTTTTTGATCTTTTCTTGGTTGAATCTGTAGATTCATGGAAACAACTGTGCTTTCTGCCCATTTTTACAGACCTAAAACTACTCCTATTAATGAAAAAAAAAATCACAACAGACGAGTTCAGCAAGTGTGTAGGAATCCACCCACAGGAACTAACCTTATTTCTGTGTAGCAGCAATGAACAATCTGAAAATGTAGTCACCGTGATCGTAATTCAAATAAGGAAGTTGTGGCCACCAACGATATGGGACCTGGGACAGTGCAAATTACCTAACACTCTTACCACTGCAGGAAGTTACTAGGACTTCCCTGATCTAACACAATCAGTCACTTCACCACACTGTTTAGTAAACAAAAGATCTGAACACAATAAGGCTCCAGTAATAACTGCCCTTACTGCAGTCTGTAATCTGGAAACTGCCCTCTGGTTGCCTTTATCCCTGTGTGGTGGCTCCTGGGAGGCTCTCTGGCCTGATAAGCCCCAGGGTGACCACTCACTAGCTTCCTCTTCCTGCAACCTCAGCATCCTTGTCTGGAAAACAGGAATTGGATCTGGTACTAGCAAGTAGTTCTGAGAGTTGAAGGGGCTGCTTTCAAAGCATCTTCCGACGATAAATGATGAATGTATCTGGTCGCTCCGTCTCCATGCTAGAAAAGCAAGCCATGCTAAAATGCAGTCGAAACAGGAAGACAACCACCACGCCCCCCACCACCACCACCATCACCACCAAAAAAAAAAAACACCAAAAACTGTTTTCTCATTTTTACAGTCTCCAGCCATTCCACCCTGAATGAGTCTGGTCTCGCCACATCTTTATAAAAGTTCTTAGCATTCCTCTTGAAATCTGACAATTAATGACACACGTGATTTTCTTTTTCAGTACACCGAGGAAGGAAGGAGCAGGGAGAGAAACAGCACATATATTTACAGGTTGATTCAACCTGTTTCAGCCAGCAGCTGGGGTGTGGGGGCTGGGGACACTTGACCTCCATAGATCTCCTGAACAAAGTGGGAGGAAGGGCTTCCTGCCATCCTTTGTCGTCAGGCAGGCCAAGCCTGGCTAATAGGAACTGTCACCTGGGCCCTTCCAGGTCAGAAACGAAGAACAGCAATTAACTCCTCTCAGAAGCCTGTGGCCCGGAGCAGGCCCTGGTAGGCCAGGTAGCTAAATCATTAAAGACACAGTTCTTTTCAGTGATAAATTGTGCAGGCGCATGAAACCCGCTGCTGGCTATTAATCTGGGCTAATCAGGTTGAAAGCTGGGTTGTTTTATTTAGTAATTAACGGGTTATGTGAAAAACATGATCCATAGCCTGGGGTTCGTCTATAGAGCACTGTCCGGGAGGAGAGAATGGGGAGCTGCGGGGATTCTCTAGAGAGCCTCTCGGGCCTGTGCAATTACGGCCATTGGCAAGCGTTGAAAAATGACCCCGCGCTTGTATTGACACCCCGGGAAAAAACATTACTGCCAACAGCGCAGGCGGAGTCCCGAAGGCCGTAATTGCTCTGCTCTTTCTCCCTCTCTCCACAGCCAGCTAAGCCAAACCCGAAGTCTCAGGGATGCGCTGTGATGTTGGGGCGGGGGCACATCCTGCTTCCTTCTGGTAGTGGGCAGCAGGGGTGTGACAGCAGATCAGTGGGTGAGTGGTACTGTTGGCAGAGAGAGCAGTTCCCGAGGAAGTGAGGATGGCGGCGGGCTGGAGGAGTCGGATGGTACCATTTTGAGCACACTAAAATGGTGGTGTTCAGAGGACAAGGGCAACATGATGACGTGGTGACTGGGAGGACACATGGAGAACTCTGGACCAAACAAGAGGTGGGGGCCTATGCTGTGAACACAGAGATGATGTGACGGTGGCATGTATGGAGACCATCCAGCAGCGTGTATGTTCAGAGGAGGGAAGAATTCACCAGGGCCTCTGAGGTGGCCAAGCTGGAGGTCACAGCCATAGACTACCCAGTCCCCCCCTGCCCTCTGTGAGGCTCACTAGCCCTGATGACCTAGTCTTCCTCCAGACTGTCCTCACTGCTTGTCCTCCCTACAGGGCCTGCTGCTGTCCGGGTCAGGCTCTCTCTCCTCTCTCTCATTTCAGTCATAAGAGCTACTAGCCACCTCTGATTTAATGTCTGCTCGGGGCCAGGATGAGCCTCTGACCTTGCAGATCAGCTTAAACTCCGGAGGCGCCCCAGAACAATTAAACAAACAAACAAACAAACAAACAAACACCAAACAACTTTATCAAAACATTTGGAGGGTGGGTTAGGTGAATGTAGGGAGGTCAAAGGTCAACTTTAAGGCGTCGTTCTCTCCTTCTACCACGTGAGTTGTGGGGATCACACTGAAGTCATCAGCCTTGGTGACAAGGACCTTCACCTCTGAGCCATCTCTCCATGCCTACTCTGAACTATTTAAAAATCACAGTTCTTTTTTTCTTTTCTTTTTTATTTTATTTTTTAATTTTATTTATTTATTTATTTATTTATTTATTTATTTATTTATTTATTTATTTATTTATTTATTTTTGGTTTTTCGAGACAG